GTGTGTGTGTATACACACACACACACACACATACATCCCAATCACACACACACACATAACTAAAACAAGAAGTTCCATGAAACAGTGTATTTTATATGCAGGATGTATTCTGAAGTTTTTTTTTTAATTCAGTTGTGGCACACTAAGTTGATTTCACACCCCACAATGGATCTCAACCTGCAGTTAGAAACACATTGATCTAGGGGAAATGAGTCTGAATAGTTTTTACCAAGGAGATTGGGAACAGGACCCATATTGTAAGAAATAAAGCATAAGTGAAAAAATGCTTCTTAGTCTCTTTAACCACCAAACGTATCTCTAACACTGTAAAGTTTGTAACTTCCCCTACTTTCATTTATCACCTATGGATTTCCCCTATTGTGATTTGTAGAAAATTACTATCGTTTTGGAATTGAACTGGTGGATTTCTAAAAAGATTCTTGGTATTTTGTGGTTATTTTCTGACGCAAACCAAGACTTCGGATGAATGAAAACAGATTCATTTCAACTTACTTGCTTCAGTTACCCCAGGCTGATCTGAATTGTAAAAAGTTGGGTGATTTCTGTTACATTTTGTGTAAAGAGTGACGGAGTGTCTATCTATGTTTCATAATTCTAAAATCATTTGATTGTGGGTTGTCATAAATCATTGACTATGAGAAATGTGTAGCACCCTGTATTGGCCATTAATTGACTTTTTAATTTGATGCAAACTCACTTTCTAAACTGCTAAAATTTTATATTGAAAAGGTCTGGCTTATCTTTCTGAAAGACTGATTGCAAATCAAGGCTTAATTCCAGTTCTGGGTGGCAGCCATATAGGAGTTCTGCACTGTTTCCCTCAAATCTCTGGATAAAGCTGGCTGCAACAGTGTTGTAACTCTTGGAAGCCAAAACCTTTTGCGAGGGGCTTTCCAAAATGATAATGTCTTGCCTTTGCCTTGAAATATGAGCTCCTAGTAGACAAGAATCACTTATTTATATATTTAATTGGCCAGCTGTGCAGAACATTGCATTAATTAGGTCCCTGTATAAACCTGTGCCATGTAATGGTTCCCAGATGCTGGTCTGCAGAAAGAGTGCACCAAAATCATTAAAGAGCCTATGACAGATCTCTGAGTCCCAGTCTGAGAGATTCAAATTCAGTATTTTTTTTTTAAGGCTCACCCAGCTGATTTTGATGCACAGATTAAGTTTATGTTTAACCCAGCCCAGCACAACTTTCCACAGTCATTTGAAACTTTCTCACTATGGCTAACTCCCAAACTCATGTTCAAAGCTACTGGTGGGAGTGATGGGGAATTGCTAATAATTTTGCTGTCTGTTGGGTCACCTCTGTGTCTGGGATCTAGCAGTTTCTGTCCCAGGTCTCAGATGGGGGCCTGATTCCTAAATATGGAAATATCCCTTCTCCTGAGCTCCCATGTAGGCAAGCTCCAAGTGGGGAAGATTACAGGGGAAGGCAGCAGAGAAGAGGTTGATGAATGGATAAAGGAGAGTTCCTAGCACTCAGAACACCTGGTCATGTGCCCCCCCTGCTGGAGAGTTGGCCAAATTCTGTAACGTAGGACATTGATACAACAAATGGGTAGAGATCTACTGCATGCCAGGTACTAGGGAATGAAGATAGAGTCCTATTCTTGAAGGGCTCACAATCCAGAATAGTCAGGCTCCCTAACAGATCTTTATACTATCTAGTGAAGTATCAACTGCAGACATAATTAATGATTATTGGTATACTTTCATTCATTCAATAAATAACTATTAAATGCTTACTAGGGGGCAGATGCTGGGCTTGGCACTGGAGGTAAGTGGCAAACAGCAGACATGTTCCCTACCGTCTTGGAGCTTATATTCTAGTGAGAGTTGTATTAATTATAACATCAGCTGTAAGTAACAGCAAAGTCAATTAAAATTGGCTTAAGCAATAGAGAAATGAATTACTTTGCATAACCTTAAGTACAGAGGTAGGATAGATTCCAGGGCTGGTTGGTTCAACAGTACAAGACATTAATAAAGACTTAAGTTATTTTCAACTCTGTGTTGCCTTCCTGATTGTGCTGGCTATTTTCTCAGGTTGTTCTCTTCAAAGTTTTAAGATGGTTGCTACAACTCCAGGTGTCATTTTCAGATATATGAACATACAAAGGGAGAGAGTAATTATTTTTTTATGTGACCTTCTTAAGACCAAGACACCTTTCTCAGAAGACCCCAGCAGACTTCCATTCAGGTGTCATTGACCAGAATTCAGTTATGGGACTGATCCTAAAACAATTACCACAAGGGCAACGGCAACTTGTTGATTAGATTAAGCAGGATCTTCTCTTGGGCTCTTGGGTCTCATGGAAGAGAGGTGGATTTAAGAGCAAAATTGGGGTTCTTTAAAAAAAATCTGATTCCCTATATTCTCACCACAACATTGTTTTAAAATTGGGGTTCTTTTAACAAGGAATAAGGTGGGAAACAGATGTTAAATAACTACTAGTATTCATTATAGGGAAGGAAGATTAATCAATAAAAAATAATCACAAATTGTGAGGGAACTACATGGAAGTTAGCTTTTGCTGCATAATGAAACATCTCAAATTTATCTAACTCAAGATTCTATTTGGGCTAAGCTCAGCTGAGTGGTTCTTCCGGTCCTGACTGGGTTCATTCATGTCTCTGGTCAGCTGCAAGTCAAATAGGTAGCTCTACTCCTGGGGTTTGACGGGTTGTGGGCTGAGGCAATGGGCCCAGGTGTCTTTCATTATCCAGCAAGCTATCTTTGGCTTGTTCCTGTGGTAGACTGGCAAAGTTTGAAAATCGAAAGCCTCCAGTTACAAATATTTTTGAGGCTTAGAAATGGCACACAACTTCTATTGCATTCTTTTGGTCAAATCAAGTAAGAAAGCCATGAAGGTAAAGAAACAGACTCCATCTGTTGAAGGGAGATGCTGCAAAGGTCACGGTCACAGGGAGAGGAAGAATTTGTACTGTTTTTGCAAACTACCACAGGTCATGAGTAACAGGAGAAAAAAGCTACTCACATCTCCGTTCAGGAGAGAGCTATCATTTGGAAAGTTTCCAATCACCAAAATGTCTTCTTCTGAGCTGAAATTCTTGTACTGTACGATTGTTATTGATGATTTCCTGACAGTATTTGCTTCAGACATCAGAAGGTTAGAGGCTGTGATGCTGTTACTTAAAACAATAATGTTAAAGAAATACAGGATCATGGAATGTTCACTGCAGGGAATTTGAGATTATTTAGTCCAATTCCATCTTTTTTCAATTTAACAAAACTAGATTTTATTATTAATATAGGTATACAGTTTAAAACGTCCAAGAGGATTAAAAAAAATTTAAAGCAAAAAACAGTAGTTTTCTGCTTATGTTCTGTTCCCCAGAAGCAACCACTTTTAACATTCTTAACTGTTTCTTCTTGTACTTAGCTCGTAATTCTAAGTAATATGCAACTGTTGTTCTCTTTTGATTCACTTATCAGTTTTGACACATAATGACTGTGTCAGAAGATGATTTCAGCCATCCTCACTTCCCCTTCCTCTTCTCCCATCTTCTTAATGTAGTTAAATAACAATTTCCAGTTAACCCGCATTTGGAGTTTTTATTAAGACAGTGGTGTTAGACTGACTAATGCCCTCCTAAAATAGTTAGGTCCTAATCCCTGGGACTTGTAAATGTTACTTTAAAGGGCAAAGAGAGATTTTGCTGATATGATTAAGTTATGGATCTTCAGATAGGGAGATTATTCTGAATTATTTCGTTGGACCTTAACTGCAATCACAAATATCCTTATAAGAGAAAGCCAAAGTGATATCTGACAGAGAGAAGGCAATGTGAGGACTGAAGCAAGATGTTACACTGTTGACTCTGAAGATGGAAGAAGGGGCCATAAGCCAAGAACTCAGCTCTAGAATCTGGAAAAGGAAAGAAAACGGGTATATCTCTGGGGTGTTTCCTTTTTCCTGGGAGGAATGCTCTAGTCTCCTACCTGGCAAATACAAGCCCTGATGTCAGTATTGTGCAGCCAGGAGGGGGAAGACTTTCACATAATCCCCCTGTCCCCACTCCAGGACTACCCACTTGCTTACAGGTACTCTAGCATGGGTTGTTTTTGGTTTTTTTTTTTTGAAACTATTATAAATAGTACTAATTTTAAAAATAGTTTTATTGAAATATAATTTACATATCATACAGTTCATCCATTTAAGATGTATAATTCAGTAATTTTTAGTATATTCACAGATATGTGCAAACATCAGTAGTGTCAATTTTAGATCATTTTCATCACCTCAAAAAGTCTTGGGGAGGGGGAACAGGGGACCTGCTCAACAAGCATAGAGTTTTAGTTTTACAAGATGAGAAAATTCTAGAGATCTGTTGTACAAGGTGGTATAGTTAATACTATTGTACTGTACACTTAAAAAATAGTTAATGGTCAAAAAAATCCATATACTTGAGCTGTCGATCACCCCGTATCTCCACATCCACAACTACTCCAGCCCTAAGCAGTCACTAATCTACTTTCTGTCTCTATAGATTGCTCTATTCTAAATAATTCATATGGATGGAATCATATGTAATAATATTTGAATAATTTTCCGCTGTATGATATACCACATTTTGTTTATCCACTCAGTGATCCACTGATGGACATTTTAGTTGTTTCCACCTTTTGGGTATTTTGAATAATGTTGCTATAAACATTCATATATAAGTTTTTGTGTGAACATCTGTTTTCATTTCTCTTGAGAATACACCTAAGAGCAGAATTACAGGGTCATATGGTGGCTCTCTGTTTAAAGATCTGAGGAACTGTCAGTCTGTTTTCCAAAGCAACTGCACCATTTTACATTCCCACCAGCAGTATATGAGGGTTTCAATATCCTCGCTTTTGACTTCTTGATTCTAACTATTTTAGTGAGTGTGAAGCGTACCTCGCTGTGGCTTTAATTTGCACTTCTCTAATGATTAGTGATGTCCAGCATCCATTTCATATCTATCTGTTTCATATAAATCCATATATAGCCATTTGTATATCTTTGTATTTCTTAGAGAAATGTCTATTCAGATGTCTGCAGTGGGTTGAATAAAGTCCTTCCCAGATTCATGTTCATCTGGTACCTGTGAACATGGCCATTTTGGAAATAGGGTCTTTGCAGATGTAATCAGTTTAAGTTGCGGCCTACTGGATTAGGGTGGATCCTAAATATAATGACTGAGGTCTGTATAAGAAGAGACACATAGACATAGGGAGAAGAACACAGTATGAAATGAAGGAGGAGTTGGGAATGATGAGTCTGTAAATCAAGGAATGCCAAGGACTACTGGCAACCACTAGAAGTTACAAGAGAGGCATGGAACAGTCTTCCTCAGAGTCTCCACAGAGCACAGGTCCTTCTCGACATCTATCTTGACTTTAAGCCTCCAGAATTGTAAGAATAAATTTCTGTTGTTGTAAGTTCCCCAGTTTGTGGTAATTTGTTATGGCAGCCCTAGGAAATTAATACAAGATCCTTTGTCCATTTAAAACTTGGGTTGTCTTTTTAAGCTGTAGAAGTTCTTTATATATTCTGGATACAAATGCCTTATCAGATATACAATTTGCAAATATTTTCTCCCATTCTGTGGTTGTCTTTTCACTTTTTTTGTTTTTAGTTTTTTTTTTAGAAGGGGGAGAGGTAATTAGGTTTATTTATTTTTATTTATTTTTAGAGGAGGTACTGGGGATTGAACCCAGAACCTCCTGCATGTTAAGCATGTGCTCTACCACTTGAGCTATACCCTCCCCCTGTCTTTTCACTTTTTTGATGGTTTCCTTGAAAGCACTAGAGTTTTCAATTTTTATGAAGCTCAACTCCCTCTACCATACACAAAAATAAACTCAAAGTGGCTTAAAGACTTAAACATAAGACAAGACACTATAAATCTCCTTGAAGAAAAAAATACGCAAAACATTATCTGACAGGAATCTCAGCAATGTTCTCCTAGGACAGTCTACTAAGACAACAGAAATAAAAGGAAACATAAACAAATGGGACCTAAGTAAACTTATAAGCTTTTGCACAGCAAAGGAAACTATAAAGATGATGAAAAGACAGCCTATGAAATGGGAGAAAATATTTTCAATGTGATCATTAAAAAATTTAAAAATTAAAAATAAGTTAAAAAAAGACAAGTATGAGTTGCTCAGAGAATTGACAGTATGGTTATGGTCTGTAAAGGAAAAAACTTGATATCCCTCCCATGTTTCTCCTTCACTCTCACACTACTACCATACTCACAACACTTCTAAAATCAGATATGTGTGGTTTTTCCCACACCAAGCAATTCTGTGACATCAGCTGAGTGTCCTACAATTTAACTCAATTCTGACGCTGTCAACCTAGAGATAGCATCAAATCCCATAGGTTAAGGGCTCAGTCCCACAAGACCGCCCCCCAGTTCAGATGACAACTGCAAGTAGTTAAATGCCCAGATTACCCACAACTTCTGTCCAACATGGCTACAAATTGGAGGTTGTTGTGACCCCCACCTCTTGGATTTGATGACTGCCTAGAACAACTCACAGAACTCAGGAAAACGCTTACTTTTACCAGTTTACTAAAGTATACAATAAAGGATACAGATGACCAACCAGATGAAGAGATGCACAGGCAAGGTCTGGGAGGGTGGAGTGCAGGAGCTTCTGTCCTCATGCAGTTGGGGTGCATCATCCTCCTGCTACATGATGTGTTCACCAACCTGCAAGCTCTCCAAACCCCATACTATTGGCATTTTACGGAGTCTTCCTCATGTAGGCATGATCAGTCAACTCCATTTCCAGCCCCTCTCCCCTCTCTATTGAATAGGGCAGGGCTGAAAATTCCAAGCTTCTAATCAGGCTTCATCTTTCTAGTGATCAGCCTCCCCATGAGCCCACCCAGAGTCCCTCCATTAGAACAAAGAAGATGCTCCTACTGCCCTCATCACTTAGGAATTTACAAGGGTTTCAGGAGCTCTGTGTCAAGAACAGGAGGCAGAGACCAATATATTTATTTACTACTTCACAAGTTACAAGGTGGGTATGAAGACATGAAAAATTAGGAAAAGTAATAATGCTAAATGGTAACATTTTATTAAGCTATATTCTAGGAACTACTTAGTACTTATCATGTAAGAACCTTCCCAACAACCTAATTATTATCCCATTTTACAGATGGAGAAAAACCAGGCATGGAAATGTTAGGTTACCTGGCCTAAGATTATACAGCTAATAAATGACAGACATGGGCTCTGAATCCAGGCAGTTTGTCTGCTCCTCATGAAATGGTCTCATAGTGAATGGCCTTTTTGTTTGGAAGATTCTGGGAATTCTTAGGTAGAAAGTTAGAGACACTAGTAAAAAGATCCTCTTCTATCTATTCATCTTTGGCGTGGCTACCTCAAAGGAGGATCTGAGACAAGATAGGTGGTCCAAGTTTATGGAGCCAGAGTGGAGACCAGAAGACTGTTTCAAACACCCTGATCCTCCATATGTAACCTGGGGCTGGGAGGACAGTCTTGTTGGTGGCTGGTGGTCTAAGCTCAGATATTTCAAGTTGGGCAGAGACCTTCAGAGAGGGAATATCCTACCTTCCCATCCAAGAGGAAAGGGAACTGACGTCGTGGAAGGGAGAATGAGTATTGGTGGCAGTCAGTACTCGATGCCAGTTCTTCTGGCTTATGAACCTTCTCTGCAAATGCATAGAGAAAAAAATAAGACATTTTACAATAAAACATCCATTAGTTAAGTACTAATAGGCTCTAAGTGGATATGTTTAATAATTCATTTAACCCTCACAGCAACCCCAGGAGACAGGCACAATTATTATTTTACAAGTGGCGATATTAAAACACAAAGTTATTGTTATATAACTCGCTTACAGTTTTTTTCAGGAAATAAATGGAGGAGCTAAGTAAAGCTGGAAAGAACTATAATAAACTCAGTAAGTATAACACAGGGGATTAAAAATTAGTACTTTTCGGCTACTGTGTAGCAGAAAGGAAGAACCGGCGATTTGAAACAGAACTTGGATTCAAACTCCATCCGTGAGTACCGTGTAAAAGATTTGGGGCATGTCTCTTGGGGCAATTTCCTCGCCTACAAAATGAAGATAATAATACCTACCTCATAGGGTTTTTATAAGAATCTAGTGAAATGAAGAGTGTAAAAGTGCGTTGTACTCTCTAAAATGTTAGACAACCGTGAGAAACACCTCCTCCCGGTTACGGGTTAGTAAATTTGGGAGGCCGACTACCAAACCCAACAGACAAATCCTCCGCGCTCCCTTCCCGGAAACTCGCGCAGGGTCCTCTGGGACTTGTAGTTTTACGCCGGACCTGGTCCACCTTTCTCACTTAGAAAGGGCGGCTTGGTGTAAGCCCCGGAAGTACTCGTCGCTTGAGCGGCGTGCTGGTTAGGAAGGGGAGGTCAGAGGTCGCCGGGGCAGAAGGCGTTCCTGCCGCTGGCCTAGTCGCTATGTAGGGGAGGGGTAGGCACCCTCCTCCAGGTTCTGGAAGGTTCTTGGGCTCGACTAGGGCGGTAGCCCCAGGACTTCTAGTCCCCGGCTTCGGGTTTCTGCTGGCGGAGCGGAGCTGCCGCCGCCATGTTTGGCTGCTTGGTGGCGGGGAGGCTGGTGAGGATGGGGCCGGGTGGTCTGAGGAAGCGGGCAGGAGCCGGAGGACGAGGCCCCGAGGGAGGGGGAAGGTGCACGGGTGCGAGGGCTGCGGGGAAATCCGCTCACGTCTCCGTTCCCGCTGAGAGTGAGAGTATGAGAGTGGAAGAGCGGGACGCTAGGATGTTCGCTCTCCTTTGCCCCAGCGCTTTTCACAGTCGTTTAAGTAGTAGTTACTACAGTAGTTGCCGTTTGTCGAGGGTGCATTATCCTAGACAGTGCGCTCCTTCTGTCCATTTCTTCTCATCTCAGCCTTCTATGTAGCGCTTATTTGGCCCTGCACACTTTACCATAACTCGTGAGATGGTTATCATTCCCATTTTGCAGTTGAACTTAAGCTCAGTTGGTATTATGTATACTCCTCTGAGCTCATAAAGTGAGTTCAGGTGAATCTTACACTTTAATATATGTAGCGTTCTGTTTGCCGAAGGTTAAGGTGCTCGGGCAGTGTGTAACTGCTGGGTCCTTTTGGAAGGGCCGTAGTAAAAATATGCTTAACGTTAACTGGAAGTTGGCTGATAGAAACGCCTGAAACTGAAGTGTGAGCCTTATCTGAGATGATCCCTGAAAGATGTGAGCTGAGAGTTTCCTTATTGGTAAAAAGAGATAACCATCCTTGCTTAATTGTTAGAATTACATAAGTACCTGGAATTGTTAAGGAAAAATCCGGAGGGTGAATCTCGCTTGCTTCCTTAGAAACCATTCGGAAATCCATTTCAGAACCGATTCCTTTGCCTAGAATTCTTTTTTTCATTTTTCTCTCCTTGCTTTGTTTAACGTTGCAGTCCCTTTGTTGAATTGTTGAGTTATTTTTTAAATCAATTTTTGATGATGTATTCTGTACACAGTTTAAGGAACCACAGAGATAAATTGGCTATGGCTAAGCTCAGAAAATTTATTGTTTGTCTCTTGAGTGACTGGGAAGCCCCTTTTGGTGATGTTAGTAATTGTTAATACTGGTGAGATAACTTTGGATTGCTCCTGGTCTTGATAGAAAAAATGAAAGGTCCAGCCTGGGATGAGTGTGGGTCTCAGATTGAGTGTCATTAATGGAAGACATATAAAATGTGTGTTTTTCTAAAGAATAGAAAGGCTGTATGAAATCCATGTTGTCAACTAATTTGATAGGAATTTAGTTGTAGAAATACCTGTGTCTATTAACCTAACCTCTGTAATGTATCTCCAATAGAGGTTCCTACATGACAAGGTTTTTTGCCCATAGTGGACTCTTACTTCTGGAGCATTGAAACATATTAATCAAGATAAAGGGCGAATAGACCTAGGGATACTTCAACACTTAACTACATTATTCTTTTACTAGAAAAATCCACTTTATCTACAGTCATGAATTCAGTTTTCATTACTTGAAAATTTTTCTTAAGGGACAGCCTTTTCCCTAAAGTTGAGGATTAGAGTGTCATAATTCAGGTTGACAAAGAGTGGTGCCTTTGACAGAATTGACATTTAAGAAATATTTATTTTGCCTGATGATTATTCAAGACTTATAAATAACATAATTTTATATGCGTTTTAAGATTATGTGCATGCAAAAAACTGGTGAAATTGTATTTAATACTAATATAGGTAGTTTAGTTTATATTTATGTTCTTCCTTTGTTTTATTCTCTGTATTTAAATCGGAGGGTTTAATGATTTGGGGGTTACAAGTATTATTTTAGTGAGTAGGCAAAATGACAAATACAGAATCTGCAAATAATGAGGTTTGCCTGTAATTACTTCTGGATTGCTTACCCATTTTAGTTTCCTGAGGTTCAGACTAGAAGATAATTCTTCAGTGGCATGGTGTTTTGAACAATCTTTCATTTTTATAACATTCTGAAGCTGTAATGATTTATTTATATAAGTAAAATCCTTTCAGGGCACTTCTGAAATAACTTAGTTATGTTTTTAAAATACTACATTCATTAAATCATTTTTAAGGCTATATATTTTTAGGTTTTCTATTAAAATTAGCACTCTTTCTGGTGTGTTTCGTAATTCCGTGATTAGACTATCAGATTGACCTGTTGTTAGATTTGATATAATGACTAGTTGTTTACAGTGCTTACAGCAATACCAAAAGAGCTATAGAAACTTACCAAACTATTGAACTAAGACAAGTTTCTTATCTTCTAGGTGCAGACAGCTGCACAACAAGTGGCAGAGGATAAATTTGTTTTTGACTTGCCTGATTATGAAAATATCAACCATGTTGTGGTTTTTATGCTGGGAACAATCCCATTTCCTGAGGGAATGGGAGGATCTGTCTACTTTTCCTATCCTGATTCAAATGGAATTCCAGTATGGCAACTCTTAGGATTTGTCACGAATGGGAAACCAAGTGCCATCTTCAAAATTTCAGGTCTTAAATCTGGTAAGAATAATATATTAAAATAGCTTCATAATTAAACTTTTTTCTACAATAGCATAACATAGGAGATGGCTTTTTTCACTTTTCATTATATTTTTCTGATTGCTACAGTAATCTATAACATTTAAAAAAAATCAGATGATGCTGACACATGTGAAAAATAGTAAGTGAAAAGACCTCACACTCTCAGTCTCTGCCCCTGGAGAGAACCACTTAATGTAGTTCTCTTTGTATGGTGTATAGCTTTGTAAGGGGATTTTTCTGAATTATTGGGTGTTTTAATAAATAATGAGAGGAATCTTCTCATAATTCGTAATATTCACATCAGTATTTTAAATAAACAAGTAAACCAAGTAGGCTTATATAAGAAATACAATGAGAGTCCTTTTTTTCTGTGAAGATTTTTGAGCTCTTAGATTTGATTACCTCTTCAGTGTTCTGTTGGTTGTATTGACATTGCAGATATAAAATCTTACAGGGACATAATCTTTGCTTTGATGCCTTGAGGTATTTTGTTTAGAAATGTGAGAACAAAACCAGGTGCCATTTACTCTCATTGGTTCCTTTGAAAGTGCAGATGAAAACAGACATGAAAAGTCTTAGAATCTAAATATACATCGTCATAGAAAAAGTCTGTGAAGTCTAAAGAAAAATTCTATTTAGGCTACATGTTTATGCATTTAACAAACACTTGGGTATGTACTATGGGGATTTAAAGATAATGATTAAGTTATTGTCTGAAATAACTCTTATAAAGGAAGATAGTAATTAAAAGGGTGAAAAGTAATTGTTGATGTTTGTACAAAGTGCTGAGAGAGAATAGGTAAGGGAGCAATTAACTCTTAAGTAGTTTGGGGAAATCTTCCTGGAGGAGATGATATTGGACCTCTTGAGAAGATAAGTAGGAGTTTGTCAGGCCTGTGAGAGGCCTAATGGACATTGTTTTCTAGGTAGAGGTAATACGGGTATAATGAAATTTTGAAAAATTCTCTGAGAAGAAATGGGAGAACGTAATATTTAAAGCTAAAAATTTTTAGATTGATGATAAATACTAATCTCTAGATCTAAGAAGCAGAATAAATTCCTATAGTCCTTCTTAGTGAGGGCTCCATGAGATAATTATCCCTAATCCCTAAGGCAGTGGTTCTTAAAGCCTGATCCCCTGACTAGCAGTATCAGCATCACATGGAAAGTAGTTAGAAATTCACATTTGTGGTAGGACCCCAGACCTACTGAATCAGAAAACTTGGGTGGAGTCCAGTGGTCTGTATTTAGTAGGCTCCCCGGGTGTTTTTGTTGCACACTAAAGTTTGAGAACCATTGCCCTAGGGCATCCACTGTATGTAATGAATTAATGCCCCGTACATATAGCATGGTATTTAGTTCTGAAGTCTTTGGGAGAATTAAGAAAATAGTCTCATCACTTTTTTTTCCTGTGGCTGTGCTTAAAAATAGACAGTCTATAAGTAAAAAAAAATATGGACAACTCAGTGTACCCTAGTGAAATTACTGGATGTTAAATAGAAAGGAATAAAGGAACCAGAGAGGGAAGACAAGTCATTTATAACTGAACAACAATTAGACAATTTAGCAGATTTATCAACAGTTTGAACTGAGGTTAAAAATCAATAGATTAATATCTTTAAAGTGCCAAGGATAAATAAAATAACTCTAAACTATCATTGTAAAATCAGGTAGACATAAGTGTATTTTCAATTGGAGATGGAGAGTTTACTACTCAAAGACCCTTACTGAAAGAACTGCTTTAAGGTAGTTGAACTTTTGTAGGAGGAAATTAAGCCCAGAATATAGAAGGGGATGCGAGATTCAAAGGTAGCAAAGAAATTTGTAAACATACAGACAGTACAACCTGATTATGTAAAACAACACAATAAATAACTTAAATACTACACTAGAAAACAATGCATATGACAGAAGGGGTAGTGGTCAGACTAAGCTTTCTGAGGTCCTGTTTAGAAAGGGAGTAATAAAATTGATTCTGCTTTCAAATAATCCTGTTCAAATTTTAAGGAAAACTTTAAAGAGAGGGAAAACGTATAGTATATTAAAAACAAAATAAGATGGTAGAAATAATTTCAACTGTATCAGTTATCAGAATAAATATAAGCAGACTAAACTTACCTGAGAAAACGTGGAGACTCCAGGGTGGGATTTTTTTCAAAAGGTAGCAAACAGTTACGTTGCTGTTTATCAGTATATGTTTAAAATATTCTAACACAAGAACCACCCCCACAAAAGCTGTCATAGATAAGTTTAAGAAAAATAAGACTAAGGCAAAAGCATTAGCAAGGATTAAGAGATTCATTTACTAGGAATGAGATAATTCACTAGGAAGACTGAAGTATTTCTAGGAAAAAGTAAATGTCATGAACTTGTGTGTATGTAAAGCATAACTTCAGATATATAAAGAGAAAAATTGACAATGATAAATGAACAACCTTACAATCAATATTTTAATACATCTCTTGATAATTAATACACCAAGTAAATAAAATATTAGTCAAGAGGAAAATTTGAATAAAAGAGTTAACAACCTTGAGCCAATGAACACTTTAGAACCCTGAAACTAATAATTAGATCATATACATTTTTTAAGTACACACAACATATATGAAATTTGACCACGTACTAAGTCATGAAGCAAGCTATAGCAAATGAAAGATAATCATGCAACCCACAATGCAACGTAATTACAAATCGAAAGCTAAAACATTGTTATATTTAGAAATTCAAAACTTTTAAAATAGTTAATGGGTTATAGAAGAAATGACCGTGGAAATTACACTTCTGCAGAAACCAAAACAAAATAAAACATCACATATCAAACCTTTTGAATGCAGGTAAGTTAGTACTAAAGAGACTAACTCATCGGTTTAAATGTGTGTACGTGAAAAGAGAAATTGAAATGAGTGAGCTAAGTATTAAATGTAAGCAACCCAAAGAAAGTAGACCAAAGAAAATGGTAATGCTAAGAATAGAAATTAAGAACAGAAAGTGAAAAACAAAAGAGGGGCTTAATGAAATAAAAATCTAATCCTTTGAAAAGGCTAATAAAATGATGAGCTACTGAAATGTATTTAGGAAAAAGAAGACACAAAAAATGTTACTGAAAATATAAGAATGGAAACATAACTATAAATATAGTAGAAAAAATTTTATGATAATACTTTTTTTAATCCATTGCAAATTTATGCATTAAGAAGCTTAACTTAAAAACCAAGAGCATAATAAAAAGATGTATTTGTTCATAGCAGAACAAGTTTCAAAATGTATTTTCTTTTAAATGTAATCAGTCAGTACACAATCCTTTATGAACATTGTATATTTTTTTCTGTCAATACCTTCATTACATTTATAAATATATGACAGTACATTTGAGAATGACAAAGGACAGATGAAATTGGCTATTTTCTAGAAAAATAAACTAAACAAAACTGACTCAAGATAAATTTAAATCCTGAATGTAGTATCAGTAAAGACAATGAGTAATTAAAAATATACCTCTCCCTTCCACATACAGCTGTCAGGCCCACATGGTTTTACAGAGTTCACCTAAACCTGTATACAGATTGTTCATACCTCATTTAAACTATCAGAGAACAGGAAAAGAGGCAGTTTTACCCAGTTTAGTTTTTGAAGCTAATATAACTTCCTTATCAAAAAGGACAAGAACAATAGGAGAGAAAATTTGGCCTAAACCAATTTTATTTATTTTGGATTTTTGTATTATGTACATAAGAAAGTTACAAAGTGAGTTCAACAAGTTATCTTTTAAACTTTTCATTACAGAAAATTCAAGAATGCTAAATCGGACCAAATGAAATATTGAACCCTTCTCTAGTTATTACCTAGCTTCAAAAATGATCAACTCATTGATAATGTTATTTCATTTATATTCCCACTCCTCCATTCTCATATTATTTGGAAGCAGTTTCTAGATGTAATCTATAAATATACTAGTATGTGTCTAAAAGACAGTCTTTTTTTTAAATGTAAGTATAATACTATTATAACACCTAAAAACAATTCCTTAATATTAAATTGAACTGATTAAATAATCAGTGTTCAGATTTCCAATGGTCTCAGAAGTTGCTCAGTAGTTTTGTGGTTATGTTTTAAAGATTTAAAATATTCTCAGTCAGCCTCTGTATAGAAAGTTCCCTACATTGCAATTAATTGGTTGATAGGTCTCACAAGTGTCTTTTATAAAAATTGAAGATTTAATGTATTCTGTCCCTATTTCCAGTACATTAGTTGGATTTAGAGGTTTGATTAAGATTTCATTTGAATGCATTTTAAAAAATTTTTTGGCAAGATTATTATAGGCAGTGGTATGTTCTTTGATCGGAAAGTATATTTCTCTTTTTGGGAAATTAGCAGCCATTTATACACAATGTTTAGATTTACTAGTTCAACATGATAGTATTCTAATTCTGTCATTTATTAGCTGTAAAGAGACACTTAAATATCTACTGTTTGGTTACCTAAGGATAGTGTATTATAGGGAAGGTGAGATAAATATGTAATTCTTTCTCTTAATATACCAGTGTTTAAAAAAATGAATTGATTCTCTCACTCTGAAAGTGATAAGTTTTCTTTTTAAAGAATTGTGAAATCATGGATATGTTTGTGTGTGTGCATATTTATTTATATTTGATGTCTTCTAACCGTTGATGTAGTGTATCATCAGGATCTACTAGACCCAATTTTAGTTTTTCAGTTTCTTTTTTAGGCAGATCTTGATATTTTATGACTTATATCCTTTCTTAAGAAATCTTCCAAAGAACAGAAAATTAACTTTTTTTGTTATTAATGATTTTAATAGCTTTATTATGTTATAATTTACGTACAATAAACCACACATATTTAAGTGTACAGTTTGATAAATTTTGATATATGTATATACCTGTGAAATTATTACCATAATTGAGATAATGAATATATCTATTACCTCTAAAAATTTCCTAGTGCACCTTTGGAAT